CCAGGGAATTACTCCCACCTTACCTATTTCTACCGCCAAGCAGTAATCTGAACATTACTGCGTTCCGGTTTAGAAGGGTAAGGGTGCTGGTGAAATTACAAGCACATGGAATTTGCCGTACTTGTGTCCCGGGTTGACTGAAGCGGTGGCAGTGACACTGTGACACAGTAGCTTACCATCCCGTTCGTCCCGTCACTTGATCGTGAAATCGTTATAACTTTGCGGTGGCCAATTTGGAATCTCTTTATTGATGGTGAAACGTAAAAACGTAATTTAAATACGTTCGAAAATAAATACAGGCCAACCGTTACAAGATATACTAGTTATAGATGTAGTGAATAAATTTGAAAATCGAGTTTGCCGCGCCTATAAGCCATCGTGTTAATGACGCATGTCTAATGGTGTATTTACATTATATTAACGACGATTAAATGCGAAACTTTATTGTCGTCACACAAGCTCATAAGCAGTAGTGCAACGTGTAGCAAATCTAGGCAGTATTTTTACTATACGGCCCTAAGGCGGTAGGTAGTGATTTTTTTTATTTCTACATTCCTGCTGCCGCTGCCGGGCGTAGAATCACGGATAAACATCCGGCTCGACTACTGCCGCCTTCGCCTTGCGCCAAATTCGCGCCGCTACCTCAAACAGCAGTAGACTTCTTGACTTCATTTATCAAAACGAATAAATAGTTTTTAAAACATACATACTCACATATTATACCATGACATACATAATTTTCAAAAAAATGTGTCTTTAGAATGAAGGATTCCGACACCGTCGCGTAATTAAGTCTGCAGTCTGCGAGCATGTCATGGATAAACCTACACATTCAATTAAGTTTGACAAACCCCAAGTCCTTGCAAAAATTCCGTTATCTACCCAGGATGCTGCGAGAAGCCATTGAAATTAAAAAACATCCTAATTTCAACAGGGAAGTTGGTTTCTCCGTACCACCAGTTTGGGATCCAGTATTTCCTCTAATGAAAAATCCCAAACAGACATAAGACTGCAGTACTAATTAATATATTTTAGTTTGTTCTAATTTCTATTAATAATTAATAATAAATTAAACTTAATAAAAATTCATTCAATAAAATAATTTGTAAAACTTAATGTAGCGTAAATTGGAATGTTTTCTTTGTAAAATTAAAAATAAGGTATTTAATTAATAACTATTGTAACTATAATGAAAAAATAGGGTGGTTTGCATTAATATTAGACATAACTGATTGAAGACTGTACCACCTCAGTCAACCGTGACCATGGGACCTGTAAAGGGCCCGAAACGTCGGTTTGTTTGAAAAAACAAATATACACGATTTAAATCCGGAAAAATAGTTTCATTTCCTATGAAAAAAAAATTAATGCTTAAAAAATGTTCATTTATTTATTCAAGATATTCCACATAGAAAACACTACGCATTATAAAGTGAAGCATTTAAACTTATAAAGTAAGTGCCTCTACAGTTTAGGAAAATCACAGCATGCAATAGCAACAATATAAGATAAAATATATAAAAATTACAATGAAACAAATAGAAAATATATTGAAAACAAATAGAAAAAGTAATAAAATATAATTCATGCATACATTATAACTATTCAGTCTACACTCTGGTCATACATAGGGCTCACATACGTTTCCGGAACTGGCCACTTACGTAAACAATATTTACAAAGAAATCACAACATTTGAAAATGGAACTCTTTGGCTGTAAGACAGTTTATTTAATCTGACTGTCACTTGTTTTTACATTGTGGCGTCATTTTAGAAGTTGGTTGTCTACCATGGACTTAACTCGTGAAAATTTTCGTAGTATGATTTTCTACGACTTTAAGTGTAAGGTTAACAGCTCAGCGGAGCTTCGCTCGGCTTCCAACTGCTTTTGGCGATAAAGCACCATGCAAGACGACTATTTATAGCTGGTTTTCAGAATTCAAACGCAGACGTGTGAATCTCAGTAACGAATTTCGTAATGGTCGCCCGTCCACTGCTGTGAACAACAAAGACATCGATGGTGTGCGCCGTATGATCAAAACAGACAGGCATGTGACATACCATGAGATTCGGGCATCTTTAGGCATAGGCATGAGTCAAATACAATCAATACTACACAAAAATTTGGGTATGAAAAAGCTGTGCTCTCGGTGGATCCCACACAATTTGACTGAGGCTAAAAACGTATCACGTCACTTGGTGCAAAGCCATGCTTACCAGGTTCAACGAAGGGGCGTTAAATTTGGTGTGGGTAAGTAACAGGTGACGTTACTATGTCTCACACCCTGACGACCTGGCATATTGTGACTTTTATTTATTTCCAAAAATTAAGAACCAGTTACGTGGTCAACGATTTTCATCACCTGAAGAGGCTGTCGAAGAGTATGAAAAAAAAAGTTTCAGAGATTGTCTCGGAAGAGTGGTATAAATGTTTTCAAAATTGGTTCATTCGTATGAAAAAGTGCATTAACGTTAACGGAGAATATTTTGAGAAACAATGAATTCATTTCTGACCATGTATAGTATTTTTGTCTTGTTCATTCCGGAAACTTAAAGTGCGCCACACGTATTTTAGCTTACAATAGTCGTAATTAATATATATTATTCTTTATATAAGATTTTTTTCTGAGAAATAAAAATTTGTAAATATGATGTAACATAAAGATTATTAGTCTAATTTTCATTTTTTTCCTCGCATCGCAAATGCGATGATGACAAACATTGTATGCCACACTGGCGGAACAGCAATCATAAATTTTCGTGCCATTAAAGTCCTCCCTTACGTTGCATTTAAGTCAATTTCATCTTTTAGCAACTCGGTAACTCAGACTTGAATTCGCCACGATTTGAAAAAGAATTCTTCCGATAGTAGGCAGTGCAGAAAGATAATTCGTCGGTTTACGGACCTGGTCTGCCACGCAGAGGTCCCGAATGCGATTCCCGAGCCGGGAGAAATATTTGTATGGCCTTTTATTTCTATCGTGAGTTTGGGTGTGATTTGTGGTTGTCTATGTGTGCGTCTATGGCACCCGCGATACAGTTTCCTTAGTGCGGGCTATAAGTGTGGGCGTTAAAAGTACCCACATTGAATACATTCCACTAATTTTGGTGTCATATTTATTACGTTTTCTAAGGGCACTGATCACTGATCAATAATCAAAAATTTTCAAACTTCATTTAACAGGTCATTTAGATATGGCAGTTGGTGTGTAATAAGTGTTGATTATGTCTCCTATGTTTATCACCTAGGCCGACCGGGCAATGTGGTTTGCCTGCGAGGTCACATTCACAGATAAAACATACGTATATATTTTTAAATCATGCAATACACTTTTAAATTATGTAACGATTGTCATTTGTTTATCTAGGAAGAACCAAGATCATTGGAACGCTCTTCCCTGTAAAATTTATTTACAAAATAGTTTTCACAACGTTTGATATTATAAAAAAAATGGCGGCAGTTTAGAAAAGAGTCGCCTGTAGTTGTTGTAGTATTAATACCCTCTACACGTTGTTTATTAAAGCAATCGCCTATTATTTTATTTTATTAGAATATTATTTTAGGTAGAATATTATTTTATTTTTATTTACTTTTATTTTATTTTATTTTATTCACGTTGTTGAAGAATATATGATAGTAGGCTGGCAACTACTTACCGCCGAAATAATAGGTACAATAGGTTTAGGTACCTAAAAAGAAAACTTTGCTGGCCTTCCGGGCAGCATTTGATATAATTATAAATCTTAGTTAGCAAAACATTAAAAAGAATTAAAAAAGGCCACACTGCATTTTTTCTGTATTATACATTTTTAACACTACACACTAGCATTTATGTTAATATACTTATATATCATCGAGTGTATAACCAGAAATAGAGACGAAATAAGGGCAATATATTCCTGGTAACACATTAGCGATACAGCTCTTATAAATATCAACTCTCGTTTGCACTGAAATATAGACAGGCCAACTACTGACCTGTGTGTACGTCTCCGTATATTCCAAAAAATATTCTGTATTTATTGTAATAAAGATAATATCTCTAACAATGCCGTGTTCTCTTTGGTGGTGTGCGAAAACCAGCAAAACATCTAATTACAAAACAAACGGAATCACATTTCATCGGTAATTAAATATTAAATATGTAATTTTGCAATATTCGTCCATTGTAGCAAAGCTCAAGTTAACTGGTCGATTTGAAGTGAAACAGTTGACGACACCCATTGACGACACCCGTCAATTGTTTCAAACTCGGGATGGCCTATCGGGGTGCAGTTGTCACAGTAATGATATAGCAGAATAGTTTTCAAACAAATTAAATGACATTTCGTCTCTATATCTGGTTATATACTCGATGTTATATATATTTACCATTTTTTATTCTATTCAACACTTTTATTAGCTATATATAAAAATGTCACAGTGTATAAGCAATAGTAGTATAGATAGTAATTTCAGAAAAGCGATGCATAATTTCGCCACTGTACGTTAAGTCAGGATGGCCGAGCGGTCTAAGGCGCTGCGTTCAGGTCGCAGTCCACTTCTGTGGGCGTGGGTTCGAATCCCACTTCTGACATCAACAATTTATGCACTTTTTTTGTCATATGTATACTAATAATAATAATAATAATAATGGGGGCCAGAAAACAAAAAATCACAAGGTGCCAGAATTTAAAAAAAAATGTACTTTTTTAATATTTTTAATTTACTATTGTATAGTGTTAAGTTATTTTGTGTGTGTTAACATACATATATGTTATTTCATGTCTCGAGACAAACGAGACTGGCGAAATGATTTTCCGAGTTCCATATACTCCTACTTAAGATGGGATATTTACGGGCAGGATTAAAGCCCTTCGCGGGCTGAACTTGGCCCGCGGACCGTACTTTACTCAACACTATGTGACAATATATGGTTATAATAATATTACAAGTTTTGTGTTCCCGTTCTGTTGTATTACCAATATGTTTATAGTATTTTTCTTTTACTACTTGCAGGTACGATACATAATCGACAAGTTCATGGACCTTCGTCAGGAGTCGAAGAAGAAGCTGGAGAACGACCCAGCGCTCACAATCGGTGACGTCACAACCGTTAACTTAACTATGCTCTCAGTAAGAAAACATGAACTATTTTTATTACACTACACATTACCTCAGCTGATATGGTTGTGATATATTAAAATTGCTCTCCGGGACCTACACTGTCACCTGATTCCGTACCATAAAGGAAAAAGGACCTTTTAGACGTAAATTCAAAACATTATTATTTCATAGTTCATAATTTAATAGCTGTATAAGCTCTCTGTGAAAGAGTTCGTCCAGGGAAGTACTGCCACCTTACCTATTTCTGTCGCCAAGCCGTAAAGTTAACATTACAGTGTTCCGGTTTTGTAGGGTAAGAGTGCTGGTGAAATTACAGGCACATGGGACTTGCAACTGTCTCAGGGTGACAGACGTAGTGGCAGTACCCCTAAGATCTTTGCGATTTAAAGCTCTGAGTGGCACTGCAACTGTTATGGACAGGCGTATAGCTTACTATCAGGTGCACCACTTGTTCTGCCCGTCACTTGATATTATAAAAAAATATATAACAAATTAAACTTGAAAATTACAGCATACAACATGTTCTAAAACTTTAAATCGTAAAACTGATTAAACAATATCTTTTTTTATAATTTATTTTATAGTATTATTACTAAGTGACTGGACGAACAAGTTGCAGGTTGTATGTATGAATGTATTAGGTTCGTTTGTTATATTTATATATGTTTGGATTATATATTAATCACGTAATATATTGTGTAATAATTATCAGTATAATTTATTAATATAATAATTCGCCGCGTTCGTGAATTTCGTTTTTCTTAAAGGTTGACTGGTAGAGAATGCTTTTAGCATTAAGTCCGCCTTTCGTACCATCATGTCTTGTGGTCAATAAAGTTTAAATAAATAAATAATATTCCACCTAATCGTTTGAAAGCATATATTTTTTCTCGTCTATAAATAGCGTAAGCTATTGACAGACATATCTAAGGGACGCTTTCAACATACTGATCCATAAACTTCTTGTAAGACGATTTCCCATATTTTCAACGTTTGATAAAAAGCTTTTGGTTTTACGCCACCTTTAAGCATTGATATATAAGTTCTCAGAAAAACAAAGAAATCTCTTTATTTCGCTTTCTTTTTTAGAATATTTAGAATATAAGTTATCAATGTTACAATATTACAATCCAAAATAAAATGTCAAGCATAATGATCGTTATCAACGCATACTATAAAAATGAATATAAAATAAAGTACAGTATAACCACTGCTTGTCTAAAGACAATGAAGTCGAGTAAAACAAAATTACAATTATTTCAAAAGAAACTCATCGACACTGTAGAATTCATTAACCAATAAAAGGAGTATGAGGGTCGTATTCCTGAACTCTACTCAATGCTCAAGTCAGGTTTTGAGCAGACTTGAGTATGATTTCAAGCACTGGAAATACGACCCTAATGGCAAGGACTGGAGTATGATTTTCAGTGCTCACTGCAATACTCAAGTCCTGACTTGAGTATTGAGTAGAGTTATGGAATACGACTCTTAGTCGGGTATAAAACGTTTCGTCGTTTGTAACACTGTTCAGTTTTGTGGGTAGATTTTAGAGGATGGAAAAAAATAAGTAGACGTTCGTAGAATCGGGGACCTATATATTACCCGAGGATTTCTTGTTGCAAGTTTGGTAATAATTAAGTAATCTGTGATACGGTAAGCAACGGATTTTATCTTTCTACTCGGCCTACGCTCGTCTAAAAAGATCCATTTAGTGTTTGGAACCTTCTTTCTTTAAATTTGTTATAGGCAATTCTTGAAATAAAGGTAGACTGTTTAATTTCATCCTTAGTGAATACTAGGAGCAAAAATGTAATATTTATACTTAAAATAAGTAAACGTATGTCAAAAACTTAGTTTAAGTGCGAATGCTGTATGGTGCGAATTCACACTAATCGCACTATCTTCCCCCAGCGACGTTACTAAATTATAAAAACTTTTTATTGATATAGTTAGTTACTTCTTGATCAAACGTTTAGGTATTTTATGAAATACTGTACCGCATGTTACGCATTCCGTTCAAAATATAAGCGATCGGCTTTGAATTTCAGGGTGGTATTCAGAGCAACGTGGTACCGGAGAAGTTTACAGCCACCTTTGATCTGCGATTGGCTTTGTCTGTCGACCACAAGGAGTTTGAGGATATGGTAAAGATTAAGTTCTCTAGAAAGGAGTATGAATGAGAACGTACCGAAGTACAATGTTACACAATACTTTCTGGTTAGCTCTAGAAACTTCAATTCTCAAACATCACCGTACCCATGTTTGTGATATGAATTATAGTGTAAACGCGCCATATGCGTGTTTATGGGCGCTCGCTTCCATCTTCTTTGCTCAGAGCGCAAGTACGTAAATACGTTGCACAAAATGTATGGTATGTAAAACTGTAGTATTATAAATACCCTTTAGTATATCCACACTGCTCGTGGATTTCTTTTAATAAAAGTTCAGTCAGTATTATATATAAAGATTGTAATGATTTTAGATAAAGCGCTGGTGCAGTGAAGCAGGCGACAATGTGACTTACACCTTTGACCAAAAGGAGCACTACGTGCCGCTAACTCCGCTGGATGCTACTAACCCCTACTGGCTTGCTTTCAAGTCGGCTACAGACGACTTGTGAGTTTTAATTAAAAGCTCATTAATTTCCTTTCAACTTTCATTTGTTTACAGATAATATATGTATATCTTTATTTACAATATTTAGGCAAGGTCGTCTTCCATTCGTAAGTGCTTAAAGTTTTATAACTTCTGATGATAAAGTTAAACATTTGATTTATGATATCAAGTTATTATAGTTTTCTATGTAAAGCTAGCGAGAGCTTGGATAGTGCTGAGCAATCGTGACCTAGATGTTGATATGTTCAATTGTAATGTTGATGCGGTAAAGCGTAAACTCACGAACATTCCATTTAATTTTATTGAATAATTTGTAATTAGCGCAGCTATTGTGTTGTTATATTTATGTAAATGCATGTTGTTAAGAAATACTGCTTATTTTTCGTTTGTTTAAAGCTCGTGTGGGATTTCTCTGAAGCTATAGGTGGAAACCTGTAATTGGCTGTGCGTTTCTTTTCCTGTTTTCATTAAATGTAAGAAGCTGCCGGTTTTCCGTGAATAAATAAATAAATAGATTCGAAGCCTTAAATCTCAAATATCTGTGAGGTATTGCCACAGCGCCTGTCACCCTAAAACATAAAGTTGACAAGTTCCATGTGCCTGTAATTTCACCAGCACCGTTACCCTTCAAAACCGGAACGCTTTAATGTTATGGTTTGGCGGCAGAAATGTTGAGGTAGAAGTACTCCCCTAGACGAACTCTTTCAAAAGTAGTTCTACTGGTGCTGTAGTAGTTCACATATCAAGAACTAAAGAATCTTTTTTTTTTTTCAATTTCCAGGAAACTTTCAATAAAAATTCTCACATTCCCCGGAGGTACCGATAGTCGCTACGTCAGAGATATGGGCATCTTCGCTCTTGGCTTCACACCCATTACCCTCACCGAACCTGAACTACATCAGCACAATGAGAGTCTTAAAATCGACGTCTTCTTAAAAGGCATATCTACTTTCGAGAAGATCATACACGCTGTAGCTAATGTGTGAATGTTATATTGCTTGTCTATTAAAATAATGGTGGAATAAAGTTATAATAAGAACAATTATATTTATTGTTGAATTACATTGGATTTCCGGGATTACGTGATGGTGATCAGGGCATGCGAAATCCGGTTATTCGATTAAGTTTTGGAACCCGGTTTTCAGCTAAGGTAAATCCGGGTTTACGGGAGTTTCGATTTTGTCTTAAAACTATTAAAACGTAAATTCGTAACTCATAATACCATCGTATCGTGGTTAATAATGAAAATAAATGATAATTATAGGCGAGGAATTTTGGTACTTGACTACAAGATGGATGTGACCTGAGGGATGGAGGTGACCTATGGATGACGATTTGAAGTATAATTTGCTTACCTATAAGATTGTTTCTTGAGTTACTTAGATTACCAACAAACAAGAAAATACATTTTTAAGAAGCCGATATTTCTATTTAATTTGTAAATTTCAAATAAAACTATAAAAGATGGTGAGTAAAACTACAAGGTACATTAAACCAAAGTTATTCATTATGAACTAGCAATTTAACACAATTTGTTAAATCATTTGACCGCCCGTAACGATCGCTATTCAACAGATCTATTTAGTAGCAAAACTTGCAACGAAGTTCGCCATACAATTTCTTGACCTGTTGCTCCTTATTGCCTCTTCATCGTAAAAGATTTGTGGATAATAAAAACCATGGAATTACTCTAGTAACAACTACACGTAACGCGTGATTTAATCTAATTTATCTGTAGAGCTAGATTTACGTAGTAGTTTTATGGTTCAGGTTGCTGTACATGTTAGAATCATGTCTGGATTGAGCTTGAAAAAAAATATATATATGTAATATTTGCATCAACAAATATCAACTCACACAGTTCTTGTTACTTTTGAAAGTAGGTATAAATAATATATTACTGGCCTTACTTTCTCAAACTAGTATCATAAAGCACAAAGTTACTGGAATGCAAAAAATAGTTATTTTTGATATAAGTGCGGAAAGTTAGTCATTATTCACGAGTCTCGAGGTTTCAAGTCAAGACGCGAGACAAGTGAAAATGACAAATCCGCACGTGTATCAAACGACGTTTTTTAATACATTTGCGAAAAAACTACATTGAAAGTAAAATAAAACAGTATTTAAACAAAACTCATTTTCTGCTAGTAAATTAAAATCATGAAATACAACCACTGCAACCATTAGTTAAAAGTCTATGGAAATCTAATTCTAACGTGCTGTTTTTGTTTATTTTCTGTAATATCGGTCTGTAACCACTTTTCTTATTATGACGTCCTGGTACTTGTGTTGAAACTTCTTTAGGAACCCGTGCACGGTAGTGAGATACAATTTATCTG